TGAGGTAGAAGTCAGCGTACTGATCAGGAACACTGCGGCTGAAGTGACGTTCAAACAAGAGCAGACAGAAAACTGTAAATCCAATCAGCTGTTTTACTGCCAATAATCTAAATATTAAACAAAGAGGCCAAACTCTAGCGGCTAGAAGCTCACAGCTCTCCCTCCTGCAGAGTCCCAGTCCAACCACTCCAGCCAGTCGGACAGCGGCGTGTCCGAGATGACGTCATCAGGCCACACCCGCTCGCAGAGCGTCGTCAGCTCCATCTTCTCAGACGCCTGGAGGAGAGGAACCCAAGGAGAGGTGAGAACACACTCCTGCTCTGCCCAAACCTTTCCTCTGATGCTCCTGTGGACCACGTTTCCCATGTTTCCCTCTGCTTTCCTGCCAGCGGTCAAAGGTGAAGGGCCGTATGCCGGTTCCTCTTTGTGCAGGAGGAGGAGGCAGTGGAGGTTAGACAGGAAGTGATGTAACGGGCATGGAAACAGTTCGGCTGCAGACTGGAAAACGGTCGTGTTTGACCCAGTTGGTACTGGTTTTATGACAGAACTCTAACTGGGAGGGAACGCTGAACGTTGTCACGCGTGTAGATGTTAGAACACGTGTGATTTAAAGGACAAGTTCATGTCTAAAGTATTTTTCTAAACTGTGAGAAATGGATGAAATACAGTTTGACCAGTAAAAGCTAAAAAAAGATAAACCTTCAGCTGACCAGCGACACAAATTCTGATTAAAACTGCTTCACTGTGAATAATATAAAGAATTCAAGTCTTGTTTAGTGAAGTCACATGTTTGATGTGTTGGATGTGAATTCAGTTCTTATTTCAACGTTTCAGCTGATTGATTTAAAGCCACCAACAGAGATCCTCGGCTCTTCAGCGTTCTGTGATAAACTCTACATTCAGATTAAAGCTCACCTGTAACCCGAGCAGGCAGGTGTTGACCCGATGATGTCAGATATAACCAGGGTGAACTAGAACTTTCCGTCTCCCTGGTGTTTTCTGGCTGCAGCAGAACTGTTGGTTTTCTTTCTAACGTGGTGGAGTGATGGATGTTCTAACCAGCTCGTGTTTTCATCAACTACACCGTTTAACCAGTCGGACTCATTCAGAACCTGTTGTGAACCCGTCTGCAACCAGATCACAGAACATTAAATATTAACCAACTATCAGACTGTCCTGCCTTCACATGTTGTGATGATGCCACTAGAAGCTGATTTAATCGAGGCTGTTGGACATTATGAACTCATGTCAAATGAAAATGCCGACATTTCTTTGTCACTTTAATCATATTTTAGATGATTTTTTTTATCATCTTTTAGTCATTTAGGTCACTGAGTCAGTTTTAACAAGTTTTGAGCCATTTTGCTTCTTTTCGTCACTGTGAACAACATCTGAGTCATTTTCAACAATTATCGAGTCAGTTTTGTGATTTTTTTTTCGTCATGTTGGACATTTTCTGAGCCTCAGAACCTCATCGGTGCAGCAGATGGACACGTGACACTTAGGAGGAAGAACACATCTGGGTTCTGTTCAGTCAGTTTGATATCCACTTAATCTACAGACTGGGTTTCTGGTTTTCTATATCAACTTTATGACAAATATCAGAGTGTCAACAGCAAAAGAAACTGCAGTGAACTCTAATTGATGTTAACTCCAGAATATTGGTGTGAAGGTTTCTACAGATTCGGCTGATTTTATTCTAACAGGAGCAACAGAACTGTTTATAGTTTACAGAAGTTCTTGATTGTGGTACAAAATATGAATGTCATTGATTCAACTATTTCTGGAGGCTTGTGCTGAATAAAGAGACCAACACCTCCCACTGGGCCCAGTTTAGTGCCGGTCGGTTCTGTTCTGGTGTGCTGTTTGGTTTCCTGCATCTTGCTGTGGACTGTTTAGCTTCCAGGACCACAAGCTGTTAGTTGTGTACTGATTGTGTGTTTGTCCTGCAGATGATGAGGATCGACCCTATCAGTAGGCCCATCCCGGTCCAGATCCCCACCCTGTCCCCCCAGCCTCAGACTCCTCCCTCCAGGAGCAGCTACACCGACGGCCTCCTCCCGTCTGACGACTCCTCTCCGTCGCCTCCTTCGCCTCCCCCTCCTCCCCCTCCGCCCCCCATGACCAGCTTGACCCACCAGCCGGCGCCTCCTGCCTCCTACGTCAAGTACAGCACACTGGCCCGGCTGCAGAGCCAGAACCAGTCCAGGACCCAGCAGGCCGGTCCCACCCCTCCCTCCAACTACAACACCCTCCCGGCTGCCTACAGCGCCTCCCCTCCGCTGCCCCCGTCTCCTCCCCCTCCTCCTCCCCCCACAGCTCCAGCTCCTGGTTCAGCCATGGCGGCGCTGAAGTTTGGTCCCTCCAGCCCCTGTGCTCTCCCCCCACCTCCCCCGCTGGAGGAGGACATGCAGGAGCCCTCCTACCTGCCACCTCCTCCCCCTGAGAGCCTGGAGGCCAACGGGCTGCCACCTCCTCCCCCTCTGGACCCCGAGTCCTGCCCCCAGCTGTCCAACGCCGGCCTGCAGCAGTTCCTGTCGCAGAAGTTTCCCAACATGGTGTACGACTTCAGCCCGGCGGCGGCCGACGACGGCTCTCCTCCTCCTCCTCCCCCCGGAGCCGAGCTCTCTCCTCCCACCTCCCTGCAGGTGCTCCGGCCTCTGTCCCCTAATGCTCCTCCTCCTGCTCCTCCCAAAACCTTCACCGGCGGGTTTCCTCCTCAGACGGCTCCCAAACCCTCAGGCCCCTCCTCCCTCCCCCTCGCCCTCTCCCCCGTCTCCCCCACCCAGCCTCAGATGGGACACGGGCCCTTTAAGAAGCAGCAGAGTTTCTCCACCGGACACTCCCCCAACCAGCCTCCTCCCACTCTGCCCAAGCAGCACAGCCTCTCCTCCAAAAACCTGGCCATCTCTCCTTCCTCCTCCTCCTCGGTGTCCATCGCGGCTGCTACCTCCTCTCTGGTCAAACAGATTGTCAATCAGTTCCCAGGAAACTCCGCCCCTTCCTCCCTGCCCTCCTCCAACTCCACGGAGGGCTCCAAGTTCTCTGCTCCTCAGTCTCCTCCGGCGGTGAAAGCCAAACCAAAGTGGCAGCCAGGAGGTGTGGTAGCTCCTCAGTCTCCAGAGTTCCCTCCACCTCCTCCTGACAGCTCCCTGGGAGACTTCCCTCCTCCCCCCTCCTCCAAGACGGGCTCCCCCGTAAAGAAGTCGCCTTCCACCTCGTCCACCGGATCCTCCAAGAGGGGGCCTCCGCCGACGCCCCAGAGAGCCTCCTCCATCCGGGAGGGCCAGGAGGAGAGGCCCAAGAAGGTGGAGAGTCTGGTCAGTAAGTTTGGCCAGGCTCCTCAGACCGGCACCTCCTCCAGCTCCTCCTCCGCCACCGGCTCTCCCTCCAAAGACTCCTCCCTTCCTGCTCCGCTGCCCAAGCCGGGGAAGCTGAACTTGGCCAACCTCCCTCTGGCGCTGCAGGGCCTTCAGACCGGGCAGCACCACCAGCCCGACTTCCCCTCCCCTCCACCTCCGCCGCCCCCCTCCCAGCCTGCTCACCTGGACTCCTCACCTGACTATTTCCCGCCTCCCCCCAGTGACTCGGAGCTCTTCCCTCCCCCTCCTCACCCGTCAGAGTTCCATCACCCCCCGAAGGTTGCCGTGGTGAACCCCCAGCCCCAGATGCAGCCGCCGGCAACCTCGTCTCTGTCCACGTCGTCATGGAAACAAGGCTCGCTGAAGAAGGGGGCGGTGGCTCCGCCCACGCTGAGCCGGCGGACCAGCAACACGGGCCAATACGACAGCAGCTCCATGCCTCTCTCGCCGCCGCCGCTGTCTCAGACTCCGCCTCCCTCCCTGACCTCCTACTCCTCCTCCTCCCCCATCCCCCCCACCTCCCCTAAGTCTCCTGGCCCCAGCTCCCTGGCCCTGAAGCCTCACTTCCTGGAAGACCTCAACCGCACCCTGAAGAGGAAGTCGGTGTCCCGCCACGGCTCGCTCACCTCCTCCCACCTCATCACCTCCTCCAAGATGGAGCCCGTGGGCACCATGGACGACATGGCGCTGCTCCCGCCTCCTCCCCCGGAGCTCCTGCAGCAGCAGCAGCAGGGCGTCCGGGGACACTCCCAAACTCTGTCCCGCCACCACACGCACTCCCAGTCCGCCAAACATGCCAACATCTCAGGCTATGCAACGCTGCGGCGAGGCCCGCCTCCCGCTCCACCTAAACGGGACCAAAGCACCAAACTGACCAGTGAGTGGTAGGAGCAGGGACGCTGGGCGGAGCCTCAACAACTGAACTGACCAATGAGGTCTCGTCGTTCCTGCAGAGAAGAAATAATCAGTGTCTGTCTTGACTTGTCCGTCTCTCCTCATCCTGAACCATCCTGGATTCCGAGCAAGTAGCAAGCCGTGTTTCCTCCTAATCTCAGATTATGATTGTTAATATTAACCTCATTATTACTATCATTACCGATACATGTTTAATCCAATGACATGAGTAAAAATATATATATGTATATATATATCTGTATACAAGCAAGCCAGAAGAATCACCTATCGAGCTTTTTTCACAATGTCTGTGCAGCTTTGCATTGAAATATACAAAAGACGAGACTTGAACGGCAACAGAGACACTTTGCTGCAAAACCACAGGTACTGCATGGAGCAGTGGACGCTGCCGATCAAGGGAAGGAGGATCCACGGAAGGAACACGATGTGAAAGTGGAATGATGTGTATAGAAGTGTGTGTTGTGAACCTGGGGGGTGGGGGGGCGGGGGGGCATCGCCATTTATTTCAAACTTTTTTTGTGTGTGTTTTTATATAAGATTATTTAATACTGGAAAGATATTGTTATTATAATTATTTTAAATTTTAAGAAGTGTCAGAAGAGAATGAGTCGGACTGGGTGTGTATTCTCAAAACCTGTCTTATCCGAGTTGCCAAACTAGCAAACAGCTCGATCCTCTGAGTTTTTATTTGGATCATTTCTTTGAGGTTTGAGCTTCACGGCTGATTGGTCGGTCGGGTTTGATGTTTGAATGCAAACAGATTGAACAAACGCTTGTAGTCAGACAGAGGCTGCGCTCAGATCACAGGAACTCTGAACCAGCTTAGACTGAACTTTGCATCATGTAGTATTATTATAACTGTAAAGGGAACTTTAACGTCTTCCCTCCTCTTCATGAAGTTTGTTGGAGGCCGTCAGGACCAACGTTGAACATCCAGATTTAAACGTGAATTTCAGGTTTGAATCCTGTGAACCTCCTCTAATCTGAGCTCAGCCTTCAGTCGCTCCTCACGTGTTGGTGGCAGACTGATCAACACCTTGTTCAGATCGGTAACCAGCACACCGAGGAGCTCACCAGCTTCATCCAGCGCTGTGTGGAAGAAGGCCACTGTCATTTCTCTAGTGAATAAATCAGTCACATGTCTGTCGTTGTAACGGCTGGTTGGTCACTTCACTGGCTGGCTGTGGAGGCCGAGTGTCCACCCAGTGTCCACTTGGTGTGTCCACTCAGTGTCTACGGGGACGTTGATGGGAACAAGTGCCTGAAAAACAAAACGCTCAACCTGCTCACAGAGACCCTCCACAAACACTCGGCTCTAACGGGTCCACGACGTTTCTGACATTTTACAGCTTAAAACTCACCTTAAAACACCGTCTTTATCCTGCAGCCAGAAAAAAAAAACAACTTGGAGCAAATCTAGGAGGAGCTGACATGAGACAACAGCTCAGAGTCACGTTTAGGCCTTTAGCTCCACATCATCAGAGCAGGAGCGTCTCAGAAGGCAGCGCCACCAGCTACGATAAATAACACGGCTGTAGTAAAACCAGCTGTTTGCCAGCTGCTAGAAACCCTTAAAAACAAAACTCTGTCTGTCTGAGAGAATCCTTATTCTTTCATGTCAGCTGCTGTCGGCCATTTTAATTCTGTCCAGTCACGTAAACTCAGAAAAGACGTTTTACGTTGTTTCCCAAAACTTTTTGTGAAACTGAGGAAGTTTGTTTAAACTGCGGCGTTTCTATGAACCTTTTCTGATGCTTTAAAGTACATTTAACATGACCGTTTATATCAGAGGAGGTCCGATCATCTTGTGCTGCTGGGAGTCGGATCAAAACCCACGAGTTCATAAACAGTCAGCCTCCTCCACTGTGATTCCACAACAAGTCGCTCTGACAAACACCAAACTATGAGACGTTCAGCCGCGTTTAATCGGATGTTTGAAGCTGAAATGTTCTGTCAGGTGTGATATAAACAGAAAACCGTTGGAAACATGGAAAAAGAGGCAGAACTGACTGGTTGGAGCATCTCACACGGTTTCATAGTGACGGTAAACTGATCGGGGCTTTTGACAGCTGTTTGGGTATTTTCACCACTCTGAGACGTTAAAACGCTAAAACTCCTGCAATAAAAACAACGAGCTCCTTAAAAACCTGAGCCGGTGCCTGGAGGCAGATTTAAAGCATAAAGAAAGAAGCCGAACGGATCCAACCTGAGTCTGTGAATTAGCTTCATAGTTAGCGTGTTAGTCGGTGCATAACTCATCACGGGTTGGTCGTTAGTTTGTTAGTTAGTTAGGTTAGGTAACCAGCTGGAGGAGGCGGTCAGCGTGCTGCTCCATCCGTTCACAGATCAGCTGATTCAAGGTTTTTTAAACACATTTTCTGATCAGTTTTTTTTATACGAGTATGTTTTCGGTGCAGCTGAGCCTCGGTCTGGTTCCTGTTTCTGTCTCCCTGCATGACGCCGGTGCAACAGCACAGATGCCAAAAATGTACCGTTACTGCCCCGGTTTTGATTTTTAAGTGCAATCATATCTGTTTCTGAAGGTTTCTTTCTAATGTGTAACTGTGGTTAGAAGATGGTTTCAGTCAGTTTGGACATCAGGTGTGATGTCGCTGGAGGAGGAAGAGGCGTCCCTCCTCCTCCTCCTCCTCCGCCCGCCGCCCTGCAGGACAGCACTCACCACGGAGGATTTCAGCGACGCTCGAGAGCAACGTACGGTCTGAAAGTGGTCAACGTCTTGAAATGTCTTGCTCAAGGACGCCCGGCAGAGCACATGGCTGTTATTGGTGTCAAAACTGCTGTTGCATTTAAATAAAGGAGAGAAATGAGTCAAACCCGAGTGCACAGTTTTTACACAAGTCTGGTTTTTGTTCAGCGCGTGATGAGAAGCTGAAGGGAACATCAGACATCTCTAAGAATCAGTCAACTGGTTCTGATTCTTATATTACATCAGAAACCGTCGTCAGAGGTGGAACACAGATCAAGTCGGTCGTGCTCTGGTTTCCTTTGAACCCAGACAAGGCAGCTTTACTTGTGTGGCACAATTCGTAGCCGAGGTGATTCAGAGTGCTTCACACAGAAGTAGAAGAAGACAGATAAAGTCAGGCCACAGAACATAAACACAGAAGTAGTTAATTACATGAAAAGTAAAGAAGCAGATAAAATCAATCCATAGAAACAGAGGACAGATAACATACGTCCAGCTGTCATACACACAACTAACCAGAGCTGTTTTCAGCCTGGATGTGGACTTTGTCAGAGTTGAGGTCCGTCTCACGTCTTCTGAAAGACGGTTCCAGGTTTTAGCTGCATGAAACTGGAACCTCACCGTGTTTGGTTCTGACTCTGGGCACCAGCAGGAGACCCGTCCCTGAGGTTCTCAGAGCCCGACATGGTTCAGACGGCACCAACATGTCAGAGATGTACTTCGGTGCTGGACCATGAAGAGACTTGTACACGAGCAAAGCTGTTTTAAAGTCAGTTCTCTGAGCGACAGGAAGCCGGTGCAGAGACCTGAGCGCTGGACTAATCTGGTTCTAGTCAGGACTGGAGCAGCAGTGTTCTGGATCAACTGCAGCCGTCTTACAGCTGGTCTAGAGAGGCCAGTGAGCAGCCGGTACAGTAGTCTGACCAGCTGGAGACCGACTGATATTCAAAGAGCGTCACTGACAAAGAAACGATCGACATCTTTAGTTTTGTTGACGGTGATGAAAGTCTTTATAGATACACTTCTGTTCCCAAAATGGGACTTTAAACCCTCATTTCCAGGTGAGTCTGGGAACTTTGAAAACACCTTCATAGTTATTATTATACATGTATATTCATATAATGTTCCAAATTACAAATATGTCAATCAGCTGAAGGTTCCTGTTAAACTCCATGTTTGATCCAAGAGGCCTCAGTGACAGAACTGCTTAGACGAAGAAGTCCATGAATACTGAATAATAAAATGAAAAAATATGTTTTTAAAAATGTGCTCAGGCGTTGAGCTTAAATTTATGCACTGTTCTAAATTAAAGCCATGAAGTCGTGAGTAAGCACAACATTGGTGAGCTGTTACAGATAACTGTGAATGAACCCTGACTGAAAGCTGTCGATGGTGGAAAAGGACAAAAACAGTCAGAAGGAGACGAGTGCTGCTCTGACCGAACGTTAACTGAAGGTTTAGTCAAAGTCAAAGAACTGATGTCAAAGAAGTCGCCTGAGTTTCTGCATTTATTCTGCATATCTATTTAAGTCGAGTTTGTGTCTCAGCTCAACAACAACATGTAGATCATCTACAAGCAGCAGCTGACTCGTCTGTTTTATTCAGCATCAACAGTAGATGTAGTTTCAGAAATCATAAACATGTGCAGCTGCTCTGCTCCTCGTCGTTTCAGTGGACGTACAAAACAGGCAGAAACATCCATCCATCATCTCTACACCTTAATCCTCACTAGGGTC